TGTCTCTGGGTTTGTTAACACCCGCTTCCTTTCCCCCACCTCCCCTTCTCCAGTGTCCTCTCGAAACCGTAGGTCCCGTTGTTTTCTCCTCCATATTGTTTATCTCACCTATCTTATCTAGACATGGAAGAAAATAATAAGCACAAAAGCAAAACAAAGCAAAGCAAAACAACAACAACAACAAAACCCCCAAATCAAAACAACAACAACAACAAAACCCCCAAACCAAAACAACAACAAAAATGAAAAGCCTATGAATAGTTCCAGGTTTGTTTGTTGACCTTTGTGAGTGTTTTCCAACTCTCTATTGTTTTGGTCCCCCATCCCTCCCCTCTCCAACTTCACACTCTTATCCCTTTAACATTTTCATATAATTCACCTATCATACGAGTCAATCGTTCCATCACAGACATCATGAAGAGTTGTATAACCATCACCACAAACAGTGTTGGAACCTTTTCTTCATTTATGTACTCATCAGTATTAGTTCCCCGCTGGTTCCCAACCTCCCCTGCCATACCCCATTTCTTGTTCTTTGGGATTAGACAAATACTAGATACTATTGTGACCACAGCTGCAAAAGGTTCAGAAAATAAAGTATGAAGAAAAGACTAGAGGTCCTCATAATACCGACCACCAGCCTAAGAAACCTGGCGGTGCCATTTTGACATAGTGAGGAAGAGATTCATAGCACTAGTCTTTTTACAAAATCGAACAATACCTACAATTCTGAAACTTTCTATGATTTCGAAACAACGTGTCATGGATCTGTTTCCATGTGAAGAAGAAACCCACCTACATCATTCTCTATGATGGCACTGTGTTCTATCATACCTTATGGATGGGTCACTACAATTTTGTTTTCATTTTTCACTATTATAACCTAAAATCCCTGTACAAAATACTACCAAACTACTCGTAGAATTACGAAGCCAAAGAGTATGCAAAGAGAATTCTCAGGTCAAAGAATAAAGGCTAATACAACATACTTCCCAAGCAGGACAGCTATTATGTTTTCCAACTGAGGAAACCTACACTCAGAGATGAAATGAATTCATGACCAGACATCTCAAGTTGAGCAATATTACTTACATCTGGAATGCAGGTCTCTACAGGTATATGCCTAATTCAATGAACTTTCTAGTGTGCCACGTTGACTCTCTCCCAAGGATTCCTCTAGAAAAACGCTTAGGGTAGGGGATAGCCTGCAGCTATCACTTTCTAGATGCCAGGCACTCTGCTGAGGGCTTTCACATACATCATCTCACTGAGCTAGCGCAGAGCAGAGCCCAACCTGAGCACCAGTACTGATCAACTTTGGCATTTGACTTTTAGTAATATCAAAGCAAGTAGATTTGTTGCCTGGGTGGAATTCAATGCTAAAATCAAATTTCTCCTTTTTCTCAAGGGGGTGTTGGAGATGTGAATGGGGTGCTGTCTGCCTGGCAATGCTCCTTCAGCAGAATCTATGCAGGGTACTTCCCCTTAGCAAGTTGCTAGAGGCTAAATGCAAAATCAGGCCTGAGGTCAGGTCTGGCAAGTGTTGGGCCATGAGAGCAAACGAGGATGAGGTGGATGGGAGGGATACTAGGCCATTCTTCTGCTCAACTGTGTGGCCTGGGTCAAGCCCCTCCATTTTATTTCTCCAGGCTTCACCCCACCCACTTGCCAAGGCTGGAATCAGGAATGTGTAAGTATTTCGACAAGGAAGAAATGCTAATTGCAGGTAAGCTATTATAATTGATGGTAGAAGTATAAATGGACCTTATCAGCCCACAATGACTTTGTGTAATTGAGACTAGGAAAAGCAGAATACTTCGGGGAAGTGCCAGAGCGGATGAGGGCACTGGGTTGGCAGGATGTGGTTACCAAATTGGCAATCATTCAAGAACAATGTTCTAATACTCTATTTCCTAGAGGTTGGCACTATCAGATCCTGGTGGACTCTTGCCAATGGCTATGACTCCTCAGGGTTGAACCTTAGAGGTTCCTTGGTAATCATTACGTCCAGACCCCTGCTGGGATCTAAAGAACCCTTACAAGTGTGGGAATGGAGAGAGGTCTGAAAAAAGAGGGGAAGAGAATAGCACTCAGAAGAATCAACCTATGCTTGAGGAAAGGAGTGGTAGGGGAAGAAAGCAAGGAGACTACGTGGGAAGAGACCACAGGAGAAGTAGGAGGAGAAAATCTTAGAAGTTGTTGCTGTCGTTAGATGCCATTGAGGTGGTTCCGACCCACAGTGATCCCATGCACAAAGGAACAAGACACTGCCCCTGCCTGTGCCATCCTCACAACTGTGCCTATGTTGCAGCACATTGTTGTAGCCAAGGTGTTAATCCATCTCATTGAGGGCCTTCCTCTTTCTGTTTCCCCTCCACTTTACCTAGCATGATGTCCTTCTCTCCAGTGACTGGTCTCTCCTGACGATATGTCCAACGTGTCTAAGATAAAGTCTTGCCATTCTTGCCTCTAAGGAGCGCTCTGGCTGTACTTCTTCTAAGACAGATTTGTCTGTCACTTTAGCAGTCCATGTTACTTTCAACATTCTTCTCTAGCACCACAATTCAAATGCATTGATCCTTTTTTGTTCTTCCTTATTCAATGTCCAACTTTCACATGCATGTGAGGCAGTGGCAAACATGATCTTAAAGCACCACCCTCTCACTGCCATCGAGTCAATGCTGACTCGTAGTGATATCCCCCCACCCCACCTCGGTGGTTTTCTGAGACTGTAAGACTGTAACTGTTTACGGG